GATCTTCAGTTGAAAACAAAATCCATCTCTGTCTTACTTTCTAGAAGTTTCTTTTCCACTATATAGGCACAGCCTTTCTCATTTCTAGCAGGCCAAAGGATTTCTTCCTATAGGGAGGCTGTTGTGTTATATTCTGGGTACATTTTGCTCTCATTTGTTGCTGTTGGTCTTCTAGAGAGTAATTGTTTGCTAGCATGGAATAGGTACCCAGTAATGAAGTCGTATGTTCCTTCTGTAAGACCCTTGTTGCTGTTGCTGCAGTAGTGAATCCTGGAACCGGTCTGTTCCATGCCCTGCTCCTGCCTGCTTCTCATGTCAGTTTTCTGTCAGTTTTTTTTTTCTTTGCTTACTCTAGGATCATTTTCTTTTCTACCTGAAGAATTTCAATGAGAATTGCAAAATATAGACTCATGGGCAACCTCTATGAAGAACCAAATGAATAATGGAATTATCAGGTCGGGACTTTTACATGTACCTCAAATGTGTGAGACTCTGAGTTCATTTCTGAACTTGAAAACAGGATAAATGACTGAAATAATCCATGGGTAGGTCAGGAGCAGGTGACACAACAATGGATTCACAGCCAGGACACTGTTTCAGGAATAGTCAGGGCAAGGCTGGTCAAAATGTGAACGGGTCATCTGCTTCCTCTACCCGAGTCAATGTACAGCTGGCACCCATACTGAGTCTTGTCATCTCACAGTGTTACACATGAGAAGTTCAGAGACTTCATGTACATGTTTGCTTGAAATAGTGACAGAAATAGAGTGTTTCTGAGCTCAGCTGGAATCACTCCAGGTTCATGTGTAGACACACCTGTGATGTACAGAATTGTCCAGAAAGAGCCAGGAGATATGATGCTTTTTTCTTAGCTCACCTCTGTATTCATTGTATAACATGACATGTTTGCTTTATAGTGTTATAGAGAATAAAAAATATGCAGAAGGATTCTATTTTTAAGGTATTTTTAGCATAAGTTTCTACATAAATGCAGAACTGCCTCAGAAAGTCAGAAGATTATGTTGTAATATGTAATCAACTGAAAGACAGTAGTTTCCTTTATACATAAAACTTACTAATTTTCTTTTTTCTTTTGTTTTTTTGTTTCTGTTTTTGAGATGCACCCAATAGTTGCTTAGGCTTAAGCAACTGGCTCTCTGCTCAGGGATCACTCCTGGCGGGACTTGGGAGACCATATGGGATATTGGGTCATCTACGTGCAAAGCAAACACCTTACCCGCTGTACTGTCTCTCTAGTCCCTTATTTTTTTTTCATAGTGCTAAACTACTTGATGGAGTTTGCATGTTTGCTTTTGTGTTTATTCTTCATGAGTAGAATGATATTTTTGTTCATTCTTTAAAAATAGATTATATGTATGAAAAAGACAACATTTCTTGTGGAAATAGAGGCATAAAATATATTTCAGAAGACTGAAAAGTGTTATGTACAAGTTTTGTACAGCAAAAGAAAAATAACTAAAAGTCTACTGAACAAGAAAAGATATTTTCATGTCATATATCTGATAAGGGATTATTATCCATGCTGTAGAAAAAAGAACTCACATGGGGCTGGAGTGTTAGCACAGCGGGTTGTGCTTGCATGCGGCCAACCTGGGTTTGGTTCCCAGCATCCCATATGGTCTTCGAGCACAGCCAGGAGTAATTTCTGAGTGCATGGCAGGAGTAACACCTGTGCATTCCCGGGTGTGACCCAAAAAGAAAAAAAAAGAAAGAAAAAAAGAAAAAACTCATACAACTCAACGAAAACCCAAATGATGCAATTTAAAAAATGAACATAATATTTGAATAAACAGTTCTCCAAAGAGGGCACTTGGTGAGTAGGCAGATGAAAAATACTAATCATCATTAATCATCAGGGATACAAATTAGGGCCCACAATGAGTTAGGCTATTCAGCTATAAGAATAATTTTCATCAAAAGTCACTGTCACTGTCCTCCCGTTGTTCATCAATTTGCTCGAGCGGGCCCAGTAATGTCTCCATTAGAGACTTTGTTGTTACTGTGCTTGGGGCATATCGAATACGTCACGGGTAGCTTGCCAGGCTCTGCCATGTGGGCGAGATACTCTCGGTAGCTTGCCAGGCTCTCCGAGAGGGGCGGAGGAATCGAACTCGGGTCAGCCATGTTGGCTGTGTGCAAGGCAGACGCCCTACTGCTGTGCTATCACTCCAGCCTTTCATCAAAAGAAACAATGACAAAAGTATTAGAGAGAGTGGTGAGAAACCTTGTGCATTGTTAGTGGGAATGTAAGTTGGTGCAATGATTTTGGGAAATAATATGGCAGTTTCCTAAAGAAGCTAAAGTAGAGCTATTGTATGATCCAGCAATCAAACTTTTGGGTCTCTACGTGAAGAATAAGAAAACATTAACAGAATAATATATATATATATGTATATATATATATCCATGCCATTGTTTACGGCAGCATTATTCACAGTAACTGAAGGTACACTGATAGGTGACTGATAAGGAAGATGTGGTCCATTGGAATAGTAGAATAATACTCAGCTATAAAAATGGAAGTTTTATCATTTTCACTGGTTTCATGGACTGAGAGCAGGACGTGTGTGTGTATGTGTGTGTGTGTGTGTGTGTGTGTGTGTGTGTGTGTGTATAAGGGTAGGGTGGTAGTTTTGTCAAATCTGCCTATTTCAGAGCCTAACTAAAAAGTTGACAGGGACAGAGAAATAGTATAGCAGATAGGGCTCTTTCATTGCACGTGGCTGACCCACCAGATCATCCCACCTATACCACATACGCTCTCCTGGGTACTGCTGGAGTAAGCCCTGAGCACAGCAGGGTGTGTACCTCCCCCCATTTTTTAAAGAACATATAAAATTTCCTTAGGTAAAAATGTTTTTTTTTAATAAGAACTATGTAGCCCCCTCCTGCCCCAAGAAAAAGAAGGGCTTGGAGAGAGAACAGAACAGGGGTCAAGAGATTTGCCTCCCACACACATGATCCTGATACAATCACTGGCATCGTGGTGGTCTCCTGGCACCACCATGACTGAGCCTGAGCACAGAACCGGGAATGATCACCACTGGGTGTGATCACCATCTCTTCCCTCTACTCTGTTCCACAGGAAAATTATGTTTGGGCCAAAAAGATAATGCAGAGGGCTCAGTCCTGACACTGTGTATGATCCCATAGGCCCATGTGGTGTGGTAACCCCCACCCACCCCAAAGAAAGCCAGATGGGTTGTACCTTGTAACTGTTTCCTCCCTACTCCCAAGTCATCCAGTCTGTCAGAATGTTCTTAAGTATGCAAGTTCTTGGAATCAGTAATTTCACTTCCAGAATCTTACTCTAGCTAAAGAAATAACTATGTAAGTACCAAGATATTTCTTGATTGTGGCATTGTTACTGTACAACAGAAAATGTCTAATAACAATCATGTAATTGTAAAAGACTTTCTGTTTATAAATTACTAATAGGTTTTGATAAAGGGCCAATTAAACTTAACCAAGATAATTTAGAGAAAAAAAATACCTATGGGATTTTTAACAAGCACTACCATCTCCCAGTTTGCTCTTACTTCCTTTTATTACCCACTTTATGATACATTTAATCAAAACATTTCTCTCATATTACTAATCCTTTTGCTAAAAGTGATGCACTGTGGGGTATTGGGCACGTATGAGTAATCACATAATGATCATTCTTGGAGGGAAAGGCAGCTGAACAAAGCCTGCTTCATTAGCACAGTGTGTGATTTCTCAGGGATTTCTCCTGCTACCCTGTTTTTCTTGCCAAGAGTGGGCCAGGAGAAATCTTCTGTATATGTTCATAAACCATTCAAATGGAGTTTCTCCAAGACTAATGTAGTATGTGGAGTTGTGCTTGTCGATTAAATGTTTATAAATCTTATGTGTGTGAGTAATTGGTATTTAATGTAATGTATGATAAGACTCTTAATTAAATGGATCTGGGGAGATATAGATTGGATTTTTCGATAGGCGTCAGAGTCTCCAGAGGAGCCAAGGGAAACATTTTCTATGTGAAAGAGATTAAGTAGAATATCTTCCCAAGGGCTTTCAGAACATTAACTCTGGCAGCTTTAATCTACTGGCATATTAGTTGAGGATCGAGAAGAAAAGCTTTGAGTGTTACTTTAGTTTTATCTATCTCTGTGTAAGGTACGAGAGTGAAAGCTGCTTTGTACAGTGAAAGAATTGTGGGATTTTATCTAAACTTTCTGTGGTGAATTTATTAGATGTTCTTCATATGAATGATGATTTTTATTATCAGAAACATTTGATCCTGGAGTTAGTTTATAATCCCATAATAAAGAAAGCTTATTTAAATTCCACTATAATTTAAAAATTGTTTTCCCATGTGGGTAGACAGTATGAATAATGATAAACTCCTGACCTCAGATTACAAGGCTGAGATTCTCCAGCAATGAAGGGTAGAGATGAAGGGAAAGAAGAAGAGGGTTAGAAGTGACATAGGACAGTGGTGGAGTAGTGTGGGCACTTTGGTGGTGAGAAGGTGCATCAAAATCACAAACATTAAAACATTATAACAAGGTTACAAAAATTATAATAATAAAAATAAGTAACTAGAAAAATGTCTTCAGGGGCTGGAGAGACAGTATAACCGTATGGGTATTTGTCTTTGTCTTGCACAAATCTGGCCCAGCTTTGATCCCCAGCATCCCGTGTGGTCTCATGAGCTTGCCAGGAGTGGTCCCTGAGCACAGAGCAAGGGGTAAACCTGGGCACCACAAGGTGTGACCCAAAAGGAAACAGACTTAAAAAAACAAAAATTCTTCCAGAGAAATTTAATTGGCTTTGCTGAAAACCCCTTTTGCTTTGTACATGAGACAGGGTTTAACGAGGTGAGCATGGACGAGTGAAATTGCTTCTGTTGTTAGATTATAGAGGTGAGAACTGTAACTGAGGCACTAAGGAAGGCATCTTTCTTCCAAAAATAAAAACAGCAAGACAGTCAAAATTATTAATTATTTTTGCAGAAGTCAACCAAAGGCTCCATTGTCCTGGACCACGTATTTCGGCACATAAACCTTGTGGAGATCGACTTTTTTGGATTGCGGTACTGTGACCGAAGTCATCAGACGGTGAGTCCTCTGGTTTCCCATAAGTGTCCTTCTGTTACTTTCAGCTCTCCTCATCCGCTCACCCACTCCCCATAACTGGCATCACGTTCTGTCATTCAGGATCAAGGCTTTGCCTTCACTGATCCAGGCCGTTCCTTTTTCTTGTTTCTCTGCACGCCACAGAGGAGTAAGACTATCCAGGGTTTATCCATCTCCCTCTGACTTAGATGAACGTGGTACCCCCCCCCCCCCGGTGCACTCAAGCTGAAACAAATTGTATGATTTTATCTTTTAGTAAGGTATTCATCCCACTTAATCACTTAATCATGTAACTTCCCATTAGTCGTCGATTTGCTCGAGCGGGCGCCAGTAACGTCTCCATTTGTCCCTGTCACGTGCTAGTGCAGCCCAATGGCATCTGTTCGCTCTGGGAACATGAAGAGCCTCAAACCGATCATTCATGATCTTGATGAAGAAGTCTGACCATCTGGTAGATGGGCGGCCATGCGATCTTTTGACATCCCGTGGAATACAGTCGGTAATAGCTCTAGCCCAGCGGTCGTCTTTAAATCTCATTACGTGACCAGCCCATGCATATACCAAAACTTCTCTTCCTATTCATCTGTTGTTAGACATTAGGTTGTTTCCATATCTTGGCTATTGTATATTGGTGTGCATACATCATTTCAAATTAATGACTTTGTGTTTGAGGGGTAGATACCAAGAACTGGAATCCCTGGGACATATAGAAGCTCTGTTCTTCCTTTCTTGAGAAAACTTCAAACTGCTTCCTCTGTGTCAGACACATTCCCATCAACAGTGAGTGAAGGTTCCTTTTTTAACTGAATCATCACCAACAAATTATTTCCAGTTTTCTTATTTCCAGTTTTCTTAAAATATAAATCATTCTCATTGTTGTTAGTATTTGCACTTCCCTAATAGTAACTGATGATGAGCACCTTTTCATATGTATATTTGTCATTCATGTCTTCTTTATGGAAATGTCAATCTCTTTTCCAGCTTTTTTTTGTTGAGTTTTTTTTCTTTTTTAAAGAATATTTTTATTTTACAAGGTGGTTCACAATATTTGATTATAGTTAATATACAAACACCAATCCCACCACCATTACACATTCCCACCACCAAATTTGGGATGTTTGCATCCCAAGCCCCAATCCCTGTCCCAAGGCAAAACCAAAATAACATATTTTGTATTCTCTGTTATGGAAAACCGCTGAAAATGCTACTAAAAAGTATCCATAGAGGAGACAATGTGAAAATTGTTCTATTTTGGCAGGAACCATTAAGACATTCTTTAGAATATCACTTACATGTTGTTAAAGGTTGAGTCATGTGAACTTTCATATATATATATGTGTGTATATATGCATATATATATATATGTTTCCCTCTATGATTTGTTGCCTACTGTTTGAAACCAATCAAATGTGGTGTGATACTTATGGAGAATGGATAGGGAGTGTCTTATGATGTGTCACGTGGCCACATTCACTCCTGCATGAGGGTCGGCCAAGCATTTGGGGAGCAGCCATGAGCATAGCAGCGGTTGGGTTCTGGAGGTTTTCATCAGCCGGGGCTGGGCCCCTTGGGGTGGGGAGGGATCTCATCGGCCCCCCTCTGGGGCACTCTGAGTGAAACAGCCTGGCATGGAGTCCGGTGGCATGGCTATGGTGAGCATCATATTGCTCCCTTCTGGGAGAAAAGGTCGTATAATTTTGTTGAGTTTTTTAATGGGTTGCTGCTCCATTAGTGCTGAACTTTATGCGTCATAGTTTCTTCATATTGGTCCCTTCTCTGTTGTCTCATATGTAGGTATTGTCCCCCATTCAGTAGGGTGTATTTTTCTTTTTAAGTCGACCCGGCATTGCATAGGGGTTACTCCTGACTCATGCACTCAGGAATTACTCCTAGGGGTGCTCAGGGGACCATATGAGATCCTGGGAATCGAACATGGTTGAACCGCGTGCAAGGCAAATGCCCTACCCACTGTGCTATTGCTCCAGCTCCAGTAGGGTGTATTTTTTTAAAAATTTATTTGTTGAATCACCGTGAGAACAGTTACAAAACTTTCAAGTTTAAGTCTCAGTCATACAATGATCAAACACCTGTCCCTTCACCAGTACATATTTTCCACCACCAAGAAGCCCAATATACGCCCCCCACCCCACCCCTCCCCATGCCTGTGAGGCAGATGATTTCCACTTAACTTTCTCTCTATTTTGATCACATTCATTTTTTTTTTAGATTTACAATGTTTTGTGCTTGGTTTTTGATTATACAATGATCAAATACCCATTCCTCCATCAGTGCCCATTTTCCACAACTATGGATAATATCTCTCCTACCCCCCCCCATCCTACCCTGCCTCTGTGGCAGGGCATTCCCTTCTGTTCTCTCACTTCCCCTGGGTGCTGTGGTCTGCAAAAGAGGCATTGAGTGGCAGTCATGTTCAGTCCATAGTCTACTTTCAACATGCATCTCCCATCCTGGGAGGATCCTCGAAACACCCTTTATTTGGTGCTCCCTTCTCTATCTGAGCTGCCCTTTCCCCTAGAATGCCCGGCTGGCCTCTAAACTATGGAGTAATCCTCCTGGTGCTGATCTCGGCTATTCTTGGGTATTAATCTCATATTTTGTTACTTTATATCCCCCAGATGAATGCAGTCTTTCTATGTCTATCCCTCTCTTTCTGACTCATTTTGCTTAGCATGATATTTTCCATGTTGTACCACTTGAATGTAACTTTCATGACTGAATCTTTTTTAACAGCTACATAGTACTCCATTGTATAGATGTACCAAAGTTTCTTTAACCAGTCATCTGTTCTGAGGCACTCAGGTTTCTTCCAGTTTTTGGCTATTGTAAAGAGTACTGCAATGAACAAACAAGTGCAGATGTCACTTCGACTATACATTTTTGCCTCTCTGGCATATATTCCCAGGAGTGGTATTGCTGGGTCAAATGGGAGCTCAATTTCTAATTTTTTGAGAATCGTCCATACTGTTTTCCAAAAGGGTTGAACCAGTCGGCATTCCCACCAACAGTGAAGGAGTGTCCCTTTCTCGCCACATCCACGCGAGCATTGGTTACTTTTGTTCTTTTGAATGTGGGCCAGTCTCTGAGGTGTGAGATGGTATCTCATTGTTGTTTTCATGTGCATCTCCCTGATGATTAATGATGTAGAGCATTTTCTCATGTGCTTTTTTGCCATTCGGATTTCTTCTTTGAGAAAGTTTCTGTTCATTTCATTGCCCCATTTTTTGATGGGGTTGGATGTTTTCTTCTTGTGGAATTCAACCAGTACTTTGTATATCCTTGATATCAACCCCTTGTCAGATGTGTATTCGGCTAATATCCTTTCCCATTCTGTAGACTGTCTTTGTATTTTGGTCACTGTTTCTTTGGAGGTGCAGAAGCTTCTTAGTTTAAGATAGTCCCATTTATCTATCTCTGTTTTCACTTGCTCGGCCAGTGGCGTGGCATCTTTGAAAATACCATTAGCTTCAATATCATGGAGGGTTTTGCCAACTTTGTCTTCAATGTACCTTATGGTTTTTGGTCTGATGTTGAGGTTTTTAATCCATTTTTATCTTACTTTTGTACATGGTGTTAGGCAGAATTCTGAGCCCATTTTTTTTTTTGCATGTAGCCGTCCAGTGATGCCAGCACAATTTGTTAAAGAGGATTTCCTTACTCCAATTCACATTTCTTGCACCTTTATCAAAGATTAGATGATCATATGATTGAGGGGAGATATCAGTGTATTCAACCCTGTTCCATTGGTCTGCAGTTCTGTCTTTGTTCCAGTACCATGCAGTTTTAATTATTACTGCTTTGTAGTAGAGTTTGAAGTTTAGGGAGGTTGATTCCTCCCATTTTCTTTTTCCCAAGAATTGCTTTAGCTATTCGTGGGGGCTTATTGTTCCATATAAATTTCAGGAGTGTTTGCTCCATTTCTTTGAAGAATGTCATGGGTATCCTTATAAGGATTGCATTGAATTTATACAATGCTTTCGGTAGTATTGCCATTTTGACAATGTTAAGTCTCCTGACCCATGAGCAGGGGATATCTTTCCATTTCCTCATGTCCTCTTTTATTTCCTGAAGGAGCGTTTTATATTTTCTTTGTACAGGTCCTTTACTTCCTTAGTTAAGCTGATTCATAGGTACTTGATTTTCTGGGGCACAATTGTGAACGGGATTGTTTTTTTTCATGTAGCTTTCTTCTCTCTTACTGTTTGCATATAGGAAAGCCATGGACTTTTTGGTATTGATTTTATAGCCTGCAACTTTACTATACAAGTCTATTGTTTCTAGGAGTTTTTTGGTGGAGGTTATTGGGTTCTCTAAGTATAGTACTATATCATCTGCAAATAGTGAGAGCTTGATTTCTTCCTTTCCTACCTGAATGCTCTTAATATCTTTTTCTTGCCTAATTGCTATTGCAAGTACTTACAGTACTATATTGAACAGCAGTGGAGAGAGTGGGCATCCTTGTCTCGTCCCTGATCTTAGAGGGAAGACTCTCAGTTTTTCCCCATTGAGGATGATGCTTGCTGTAGACTTGTGGTAGATGGCTTTAACTATGTTGAGGAAAGTCCCCTCTATCCCCATTTTGGCTAGGGTTTTCATCATAAAGGGGTGCTGGATCTTGTCAAATGCTTTCTCTGCATCTGTTCATATGATCATATGGTTTTTATCTTTTCCTTTGTTGATATGATGTATTTTTTTTATTGATTTACGAACGTTAAACCATCCTTGCATCCCTGGGATGAATCCTACTTGGTCATGGTGTATGATCTTTTTGATGAGTAGTTGGATTCTATTTGCTAGTAGTTTGTTAAGGATCTTTGCATCTGTGTTCATCAGGGATATCGGCCTGCAATTCTCTTTCTTTGTGGTATCTCTGTCTGCTTTTGGTATCAGTGTGATATTTTCTTCGTAGAAACTGTTTGGAAGTGTTTTTGATATTTCAATTTCGTGGAAAAGTTTAAAGAGGA